ACCCCATTTCACAGCGTATGTTGCGCTCATCATCTCGAATTTCGAACAATGGAAGTGCCGCTGCGCCACCATTGGGATAGGCGTATCGGGCTGGATTGACAGATGTATATACCGCGACAATGTTTTGCGCTATCGTGTGTTGTCGTCTCGTGGGAATTCCTGGTTTTTTGTTTTTTGTTTTCTGTGTTTGTGCTTTCGGTAGTTGCGGGTTAGAGATTTAGATGATATCACAGGGGATGAGGGGATGTTATGTCATATCTGTCTGAACTTTTTAAAAAGGGAGCAAAAGAAGAAAAATAGGGTTCTAGAGAAGAAGTTTATATTTATATTCACCCAAGATCAGGATATGAGAGGATATATAGTATAATACTATCAGGATATATATTATTCTTGGTTACGTTCTCAATTGAATGTTTACTTTAAATAATATCTGCGATGAATAGTTTATAAATTATCCCTCTTCACTTCACTTCACTCAATCTTACCTAAGCGGACTGGATAGCATCATGACCAAGTCGTACTCTCTAGACTTGAGTTATTGCTCCACTGTCCAACATTACCAGTGCAGCGAGAGAGAGAGATGTTCAATGTAAATGTTGAGTACGCTCATCTCTGACATATACAGGGGAAGACTTTGACAAGTCGGAGGATATATAACCAAGGCCACAGCATCCTGGGATATCTACGAAGAATTGTTTTCATGTTATTGAATTGTCACGGTATCATGTTGTTGAAAGTATTAACCATACTATGCATACGTATACGCATACGCCTGCATCATCACCCATCCAAGTATCATGCATCCGCCGCGCCACTAATAGCCTTCCCAAAAGCCACCTAGCAGGAGGGAGTACAACTATAGGTACAACGCCAGCCAACCCAGTACGCTCTCACCGAACCGAACCGTAGCCGAACGCCATTCCAAATAGTCCATCACATCATCCATCCCATGTTCCTACAGATTGCCAACCAAAAAATCCACAAGTACAGACAAGAAGCAGAAGAAAGCAAAACATACAGATGTGGTATTTTGATCACAAAAAAAAAGAAAGAGTGAAAAGAAAAGAAATCAAAAGCCGTTGCCATCGACTTGTCCAATACGCCAGCCAACCTGCTTGCTAAACAAAAAATGCAAAGAGGTGTGAAAGGAAAAGTTGTTCAACAATCAATATCCATCGAAGCAGCCATATCTTCACTAACACCACGTATAGGTGCTTTGTAATTCTGCTCATCGAAATCATCATCAGCTTCATCATCATAACCATCGTAGTACTCTTCTTCAGGGTCTACTTGGTCGTCCTCATCCCACATGTTGACATCAGTATCATCGTCGCCATTTTGATCAATCATAAGATTATCGGCACGATCACCTAGCCAATATCTAGCCCGTTTGTTTGCACCGGCATCATTGTACTCGGCTTCTCGGCCTGTGATGCCCTGACCTTGGCTTGGACTATGGCTCATAACTGGGACAGCTCGAACGTAGAAATACGCGACTCTCTTTTTCTCTTTGTTGAAAAAGAAGTAGTTAAGACTCCAGATAGATCCTAATTCACCATCAAACGGTTCATCAGGAGGAGCCCAAGAATAGACTGTACAGTCCTTGAGGGTCATCTCTTTATCAATCAAGGCCCACATTTGTGGACACCAGGCTTGACTTGTAGCACCAGCAGATGAGGTTGTCTTGTAGGATGTCTGCGATGGGACGTGAAGCGTCATACCCGAACTTGGTCTAAGATTATAAAGTGTCGAATCAATGGTATTGATAACAGTCTTCAAACTTCGTTCTTTGTGGAAATCGGCCGGTCTGAGATTGTGCGAGAAGTCGTAGTCAGGATGACTTGCATTAAGTGTTGCAATAAGATACGCGAAAGTTCGACGGCTTGATACCTGACTCAAGGGTCCGAAAGGGCTGGAGCGTGAGAGATTTACGCCTGCTTCGGTAGGATCAAGAGGAGGTGATACAGAAGCCGATAGTTTGAGTAGAGATTCATATTGAGATTCTAGTGAGTTCTCAATATTTTTGTAAAGTTTCTTGTCGGAGCCAGCAGCCTTGGTTGTATAGAGATCACAACCACCAATGACGTGGCAATCGGGTGTATTGAAATTCAACGCACTGGTGATATTATCGAAGTCGCGTAAAGGAAGGAACTTCATCTTTGCTGAGATGAGAATGAGAATCGATTTAGATAAGTTCTTATCGTGGATAATGGTAAAGATAATGGAAGAAAAGGCGGAATGAGACTCGCGCGCTTTGAAGAAAGTGAGAAGTATGTGGCTACGGAGCCCGAGTATTCTGTGGAGATAAACAACCTTTCGGATGATTCTGCAGACTCGTTGAACTGAAAACCAGGTACTTAAAACCTCATGTAATTACTTCTGGTGACGGTGTGTTGTGTAGTATGAATGTGTTGTTAATGGTGTTGTTTAGAGTGGTGTTTAGGGGGTGAAGTATGGACCAAACGTGTCGCTCTTTGTTCCGTTATCGGTGTGTTTGTAGGACCTGCGTGAACTAAGAAAGCAAGATTGATACTTCCTGCGCTGGCTGCGGAGGTGATATCAAGATGTTCTTTAGCTAGACTTTATGTCTAGCAGGTAATGAACATTTTTCAATTTGAGAAAGTAAGTATTGATGAGATGCGTTTGTAATGGGATGGGTCGGTGTGAGGTTGTTGATACCGAAGAAGGAAGAAGATTCGGGGGATGGGGCGAGCCGGAGGATGAGTGTGGAGACACAAGTTGATAACCTTGATTGTGACCGGAGCGATTGATGAGCTAGTATCAATATGTATTAGCTTGATGGATAAACGATGTCGCACAAAGTGGATCATGAAGTTTGATCTGGTCTGGGATTCTGGGGAGATCAATATCTTACCTCTGTACCTTTATTACCTAACAACCAATAAATGATTCTCGTGCGTGAAAGAATAGATGGATATCAATTCCAGAAGCCCGCTACAAGTTCAAAGGTTGAAAAGTATCGTGAATCGTGTTCAGGTGACTGTCAATTTGAGGGTCATGTTCTCAAATCTGCATCGAAGAATCAAGCACGTTTGCAGCATTCCCTTCGTAAAGGGGGTAATTACATGGATGACATATAATATCACGTAATCAAGAATTGCCTCTCATTCTTCAGGAATCTCGACTCTCTACATGTTAGTGAAAAGCAGCATGGTCAATCTGTGAGACATGAATGGCTACATTTCTTGTAGCCGTATTAGTATCATGGTGAGCATGGATGACGGCCTGGCTTACAAGCCAAGTAGGTAGTAGTGCAGCTCGAGTGCAGTAGACGAGTTAAAGAGAGAAACGAAATAATGCCAAGCAAGAGTCACTACCATTGCCATTCAGAGGGGTCAAAACTTAGAATTCCAAGGTTAATCCAATAACTCAGCGCATTCAATTACACACTCAACTTACACAAACGCCATTTCGTTGTTCATTTATGATTCCTCCTGGGTATCTTACCATCCATTAAACACCCTAATAAGAACGCCAATACCATTCACGTGAATTCCAACTCCAGGTCGGCAGTTGTAAAAGGGGTATCAAGCAAGACCGATCTCCCTAAGTCCGCTCATCACCTCTTCTTGGGCCTAGAGAAAGGAACCATCACCTAGTTAGCAAACAAACCCATCACAAGAAATCATGCACAGCGCTTGAAATAGCTTGAAAGTGGTATATGATATTTTCGCGCCAGACTCCATCCACCCATATATTTCTGTAATACATGTGTAAAAGCACCGATTCACATAAGCTTGGTAATCTCTTCGTCGACCTGGAATTGCGGAATTTCAATCAGCATGAAGGAAATTCGAGTTTGAATGATGTTGTCCCCCAATAGGTTGTAAAACGGAAAAGATGTCCTGAATAACCACTAAGACCCAAATTGATGTTCACCACTCACCTCCGTATCCTCAATTGAGTCTTGCGCTGATATCACCCTAAGCACATTCTTCTTACTGCTCTCCTGCATTTCGCCCGCGAGTAATAATTCATCCAATATGAAATATGCTTTTTGAAAGTTAAAAATAATATCCTGATTTCATATTAGTATATGTGCCACGTCCCATCTTGCGAAGTTAGATTTACCAGCTCGCAGACATTTCCATAGTACTTGTCCATCTGCTCAACATAGCGGTGAACAATTTCCAGAGTAATGAGTTCGTTGTCAGTTGAAGCACAACCTGCGATGAAGAAGAGGGAAGCGTAACGTCGGTAAACTATTTTCGAATCTGCCATTGACGAAATCAGCATGGAGCTCTAGATGTAGTCTTGCAGAACCAATCTGACCTTTGTACTCTAAGAAATTGCACATTCTCGTTCTACGTGCCAGCACAAGTTGAGAGACATCTTTGATGATTTTCGCCTTCTCCTTTGGCGATAATGTTGTAAACCACTTTGCGAGCCTCTGTAGACAGTTAGGGTATGCTTCAAGCTTCATCTCACGTCGAGAAAGGAGAAGTACATACAACTTTACCCTGCCGCGACAACAAGATGAGATAGCTGCATGATGTTAGCTTCATTCAATTGTCTTCATATCTTACTTCCAAGTATCTACTTACTGGATGGCCATGATTATGATTGTCCTTCGAAAAAGATTGGTATCTCAGCCTTGAGGGTGTCGTGTCTGGGCAGAAGGAGGAGCCTTGTTAATTGTTTGCAGGGGTGTAACTAAAGTTCGGGGAATCTCCGCGCTTGCCAAAAGCTTACAAAGAATGATGGAGGGGCAGATAAGTAAAGGATTAGTGAGCCAGTACCGGCAAACACTTGTGACAGCATTGATAGAATAATGTAATTTTCCTTTTTATCCTTTATTATCTTGTGTCTTACAATTCTCTTCGGTCCTATTCACTCTTTTCCCTACAACTTTAGATTTCTTTTCCCTACATTATATTATATTTTGTTCAGTCCGATAAGAATTGTATCATACCTGAGTTCAATTCAATCAATCCAAAAAGGAATTCGCATCCCACTTTCCCGTCAAATTCGATAAAATCATGACTAGATTGATACTTTCCACGTCGTACGTTTTTCTCGACCTATCTCTCAAAAGAGCAATTCACTGACTGAGTATTTAGAAATATTATGGTCGGAGGTCCTTCCATTATTAGAAAACCCGGCGCGGACCGGTCAAATCTTGAACTTACAAACTCCCTCCGAAGCAATTTTCTAGCTGCGCAGCAAGACTATTCACCCACTCCCTCGTATGCAAATGGAGTCAATGGATATGATGAATCCGATGAAGAGAATAGATCGCCGAGTCGACCGCCAGTTTCCATTTGGACAACTAGACAAGACAATGACTTTTATATCCCCACCATAGACTGGTCTCTATCCGGGCTCGCAGAAGAGCCCAGGAACTATGAAATCACTGTTAAACTATTTTATATGGCCCATACGGATGTGAAGTCAAGGTCAAAATACACAAAAGATGCTCTAAATTTGGTCATGAAAGAATTGGGTGTCGAGTCAATTGATCTCCTAATCGTTTCATTTCCCGGAATGTCCTTTGACGGTGACTGCGAATGGGAAGCAGACAAGAAGAACTCGGAACAAGGAAACGAAGCCGAAGAACTTGGGACATGGCCAATATTGGAAGAACTATATGAGCAAGGAATTGTAAAGAAATTGGGATTGGCCGAATTTGGCACAGCGAAACTTGCTAAGTTTCTAGGGAATGTCAGAGTACGACCACAAGTCGATCAGATAAATGTGAAAGATTGTTGCAGAGTTCCACAGCCTTTGCTCAAGATCGCCAAACAAGAGAACATCGAACTTTATACTCACAATGATTGCACCGATATATTGCCTGGGGGAACATTGCGGGAGCTTTTGGGACAAGGAGTTAGAGGCGCTGGTGTGCTGTCAGAATCTAAGAGGGGAATTGATGGTATGAAAGGTGACTTGAAGCCGGAATGGGTAGTCAAATATACCGCAATTGTCCGGGATCGTGGCGTGATAGAAAATAAGGGATATTTCGCTTCGGCAGAATTGAGAGAGTGAACATCAAAAGTACGATTGGGGGTTTAAATTTTGGCGCAATGGCGAATTGCGGTTCTTTGCTCCAATAGCGTGTTGGAAACAAGGGAAATGACTTGAAATGACAAGATCACTTGGTTGGCAAATTGTAGCGTTTGGATAGCTGGTGGATGACGAAGAGAAGCACATGGAGATCTGAAAATCTTAATACAAACATTGAACATATTATAGAATCAAAAGTAAATTGTAAATTTTCAACCTAACATGCTCCTTTTTCTCCCTCTCATCCTCACATCCTCCAACTTCTTCAAAACCACTTGTGCACCTTTAAAACTTGTTCCATACGCATTCAAGACCTCTCTGAATAACCCCTCGGCCCTTGGATGTGTACTTCCAAATGCTCTCTCTAACACATATAAGTCGACCGCTCGATCCTCATCTGCTGTAGTCTGACTCGCCAATCCAAAATCAATTATAACAATCTCCCCTTCTAATTCGTTTCCATTGATTGTCTCCTCTCCTTCAACTTGTACCGGCCGTAACATCAAATTACTCGTCGTCAAATCTCCATGTACAACCCCGACCCCATGCATTCTCCCCACCGCCCGTCCAATCCTCCTCATAAGGTCCACCGCATCTTCACTCCCCTCTTCCTCTCCAGTAACCTCCTTGTTCCCTTCCTCCTGCTTCCTCCGTTCCAACCACTCATTCAATCTAATCCTCACCACCTCCCCCTCAATCCACTCGACCATTATACATCCCCTTCCCTCATCCACCGCATATACAGCCGGCACAACCACGCCCTCCCTCCTACACTTGACTAACACCCTCGCTTCTGCCAATATCCTCGCTTTCGTCAAGCGCTGATCAAGAATCGGATGTCGATACGGTTTTGACGGACGCCATTTTAGTGCGCAGGGTAGAGACGGCAGTAAGTATGTGGATTTGTAGAGGAGAGCTTCGGCACCTTGGGTGATGAGCGAGGGTGGGGTGGAAGAGGGGTATGTGAAGAGGTGGGGGAGCGACGGAGGCGGGGAGATTTCTGGTTTGGAGATTTCTGGTTTGGAGATTTCTGGTTTGGAGATTTCCATGGTTGGCGATGGTATCGTTTGTCTTTCTATAATATTGAAATGGATTGGACTGGACAGGATTGGACAGGATTGGACTGGACTGAAGTGAAGTAATCTGTGCCGATCTTGAAACTTTCCTAATCAAAGTCGCAGAAGAATTGTCGTTGTGTATTAGTGGATTTGAGTCAGAGATGTGGATTTTTCTCTACTGCAGGTCATGGTGCTTTACATGAATTTACTGTATGTAGCTACCCCACGCGTGATGAATTAATGGTTCAATTGGCCAACGATGGGACGAAATGTTGGAAAAGCTCTCCACTTCTTGATTGTGTTGCATTGTCATTTTTTCTATCGCATATCAATCCATCATCAATCATCTGGATCTGGATCTGGATCTGGATCTGGATTAGATTCTCTTTGCGCCATTGTTGTGAATGATTTGACATACCCACCTAGGTACCTATCAGCAGTCGAATGTGAAGTAGCAAATAGGTGATGCATCCATCCACTGATAGAATAGATCAATCGGAATAGTATCACACAGTCCTGATTATCCGACACACCGGTCTATTACACACACCTTGGGCTTGGACTTGGACTTAGACTTAGACCATACACCATACGCCATACACCATACACCATACACCATACACCTTACACCTTACACCTTACACCTTACACCTTACACCTTACACCCTTCCGCTATACTTTACCCAATTCCTCCCAGTTCCCAACAGAACTAGAACTCACTCACTTCCATCGGCTCACACCACCACACAAGGATCCTTACCCAGGTTCTCTCCGTTAACTTGCAAAAATTCAAAGGCCGCATGTGATGATTCTGCAAGTACAAGGGTTCATTCTCCCACCATCCATTGGCTTTTTGAATCGTTTTGATCTATTGGTTTCCATACATGTGCGGAAGTGAGTAAGTGGTACAGAGGGAAAAATACTACCTAGGCAAGGTACGCAGGACCAAGTATTCCTCTTTTCTTTTTGCCTCTCTTGGTCATCCTAGATATCCGGCTAAGGGAGGTTTACTTCATGATTCACCCGTCTCCTCTCCATTATCTCACTATTCTTCTTCTTCTTCATCTCAGCCCCCCTATCAATCTAGATCGAATGCGACGATACTTATCTCAAAATTTGAATATGTGCACAACTCACTCTACCACCTTATCACCATCACCATCATCATCCGCAACCCCAGCAAAATGTCCCTCAACCCATTAATCCAATCCCTCCCACCAATGTCCCCCCTCCAATCTAGTCTGCCCACTTCCCTTCTCCTCACTTGCGCCGCGACCGCTCTTTCTCTTCCTCTTCTTGTCCAAACCCTCCTCACCCACCTCTCAGCCTACAATACCGCACCCCAAGACTTAACCACCTATCTTTCTGTTCTCGAATCCAGTGTTCAAGAAAACGCCTCTTACGATCATGACATCAGCAGAATCTCCAAGCTCGAAGATAAACTTCGATTAGCGGGCATGGTACGCGAAATCCAACGATGCGGCGATGATCTAAGAGAGCTTTTGAATACGATGGTCACTAAAGAAGATCACAAGAGGTTAAAACTCGGGTCTCGGATATTATGGGGAACGACCCGTCGGGATCTCGAAGAGCGAGTGCGCAAATTGGATTTATTGCGCATGCGTTTCCTCGTCGTGTATCTGGGAATGGTGGCGGCGAAAACGGAAGTGGTATTGAAGGAGAAAGAAAAGGAGAAAGAAAGGGAAAAGGAAGATGCGGATAAAATCTTCGGCTCTCCTATTCGAAGTAGGACGCTTCCAAATAATTTGAGCGAGAATCTCAAACGTACACCGCCGCTAAGGAGAATCACGAGTAACGCTATAGGACATAATGAGGGCACTGGAAGTCCACAGAGGAGTGGATGGTTGGGAGTTGTGAGTGAGTTACAGAGTAGTCCATTGATGCTTAAGAGGAGGGCATCAGTGGAACAAAGTTCTTCGATCGGAAGTCCGAGAAGTGAGAAGTTTGCTCATTTTCCTTAAGGGGACTGACTCGGGTTCTCAAAAGACTGATTCAGTTATCTCAAAAGAGAATCACTGGATGTTTCACTTGAGAATGATTATTGATTGGGAGGCGGAGGTAGCCAGAGGCTTCGGGTATCGTTGCACATATGTGATACATCAGGGATGCAAGCTGCTACATCAATGCCCTTGTGAGGGACAGAACGATTCGGGACACGACTTTGAACATTGCTTTTATGATGAATTTTACGAAATACACGGTGGATACAGTACTACGACGATACGCAAATGACACGAAATGGAATTAAATGACAATGGGACACAATCAGAAACAGAAAAAAGAAACAGGGAGCAGACAATACGAAAACACTTTTTATGAATAGAATGAACGCATGCATCATCATGAACTTGAAGCAGCATTTAACGAAATCTACGAATGCCGGAGAGGAAAATGGAAGGGGGAGAAGGTGTGGTAGAAGGGGGGGAGGGGCTTGGTGACAAGAGGGCGGAAGGTTTTTGAAGGCGAAGGATTAGGATGGGATAGATCGGATTAGATAGATAGGATGGGAGGGTGCGAACAGAATACTGTTCATTCTTCAGGATATACCCCTTTATATGGATGGTCGGCGCGTTTCATTTTCTTTGTTTGGTTTTAGAAATATTATAATGTGATATGATGTGATGTGATTTGAGAGGGTGGTTGATTTCGAATATAAGATTTGAGGGTTTGGATATTGGATATCGATGTTGGAGGGAGGATAGAGGGGGGAATCAATGGACTACTCGGGAGTTCCCTAGATGAAGTGGAATTGAGATGGGATTGTGATGGAAGCGGTTTACCTAGGTAGGTATCTAGTATTGAATAGGGAAACCAGAGATGACAATATCATCTAAACACAAAAGACCAGATATCTACATTGAATAGTAGGATCAAACATTCATATATAAGCAATCAGTAAATACATCTCAGCACCTTTCATATATACCTCCCTATCTTTTGGAATCCAATCAAAGCCCTCCTCAACCCATCAACCGAGCATACAATACAAGATAACATAATATTAGGGGCGAGGAACCTCGCTAGTATTTCGGAGCGCTCAAAAGTTTCGTTTCCTTACCCTTCTTTATCTTTTCCTTTCTTTTTTCAATTCTTTTTGCAATTGAATCTACAAAAGTATTACATATACATACATACCCCAGTACATACTCCACCAGATATTTTCTTCAATATCTCTCTCACTGCCTAGAGGAGATAGGAGGAGGGAGATTGGTAGGTAGGTAAGTAGATAGGTAGGTACCTAGATAGATACTGCTTTTATTACTAGGTACCTAGTATTATGCTCTACTAAACAGTACAAGACTGTACTGTACGATATAATCACTATATATACATACCTACCTCCAGATCGATTGATATCCGAATGCTCCAGATCATATATTATACATACTGCCTCACACATCACACATCACACATCGACTCCCACCAATTGAGTAAGTGAGTGAGTGAGTGAGTGAATATTCACAAAACAGTTGGTCGTAGTTACTAGATGGGAATAGCGCAAATGAGGCAGGCATGTACATTCATATCCCATTTCGCATACCATACCACCATACTATCATACCGACTTCTACTGATACAATCGCGATCACTCATTCATGCAACCCCCTCCTCCTCTCTAAAACTTTCCATTTTCCATTTCCATTTTCCATACCTAGGCAGGTTTTCCTTCACCACTCCATTCCGCTCCATTCCAAAACTCATTCACTTCAACCACTCAAACACAGATGACTTTTAAACGCAGATAAAATAAAACAGCTCTCTATTTTAAATCTCAAAAATCTCTCCTACGCCCTCCCCACCCGCACTCCTATTCTCCACGAGATCCAATCTCCAACCCTCCCAATTCTTCAACGCCCGCTTCACCTCCTTCACCCTCTCAATCCTCTTCATCGCCTCTTCCTGCTGTGCCTTCCTAAAAGCTTCTTCATCAAATTCAAGTAAATCATCATCATCCAACAATTCATCATCCTCCTCTGCTCCTGCATGTTCATGTCCATGTCCTACCGGTGCCGTACCTCCCGTAATAGCATTAAAGCCACTGGTCAAATAATCCCCAATGCCCATTCCTTGCGGACCTCCACTCTTTCTCGCATGAGGACTTCCACTTCCACCTAAATCTACATCTGTGAATCTTGCACCAGGACTCGTAAGTCCATCGTCTCCTTCACCCTGTAATTCGATTCTTCGATCTCTCCATACGCCTCTTCTCAATTCATGGACTTCCGCCTCTAAATCCCTGACTTTCTTTTCCAAGCGTTGTCTCTCTTCATTCTCCAATTCATCAACCCCTTCATCATCGATGCCTTGCGCATCTCGTTTCTTCAATCTTTCCCTTTCCTCCTTGAGACGTGAATTTTCATTCTCGACACTAGCGAAGCGAGCTCGGAGGTCTGATGCTTCTTTCTCCACCCTTTCATATTCTTTCTTCTGAGCTTGTGATCGGGCATCGTGTTCTTTGTGAAGCGTCGTAAGTGTAGATACTTTCTTCTCAAGTGCCTCCACCTTCTTCTGAAGTTCATCACTGTGTGCCTTGGCCTCCTCCGTTTCTCTTTCCAATGTGCGTAATTTGGTTTCTGCAGATATACGTTCGCTACCTTCCTTAACAGCCTTTTCAGTCGTTCGTTCGAGGTTCTTCTTCAGATCTCCCAGTTCCCGTTGCGCATTTGCTGCCGACTTTTCACTCCTTGCCAATTTTTCCTCCAGAGCGGTGATTTGTTCTTTTTCCACAGATGATCCAGATGCGACACGTTCAAGCTGTGCTTTAAGATTAGAAATCTCGATTTCCATAGACTCAATCGTCGAGGATTTAGAACGTAGCTCGGCTTCCAACTCCGATGGTGCTGGCACCGATGTCGAAGGCGAAGTTACATGTTTGCGGGTGGAAGAAACCTGAAGTTGTGTGTTTTGTCGTTGGAGCGCTGCGATTTCAGATTTCTGCATCATTCAATTAGCCCAAATTAAATCGTGCGCTTCCCTCCACAACTTACCAATTTCTCAATCTCCTCTGAAGCCCCATTTTCAGTGCTCTTTTCCCCCTTGGCAGATTCCCCCTCTGCCTCTCTCAAATCCTCCAACTCTTCCTCCGCTTTCTTCCACCTCTTCTCTGCATCTATCGCCCCTTTACTCAATTTCTTATTCTCCTTCTCCAAATCCTCGATTCTTAAAGCTTGCTTCCTATAAATATCTGGCGCCGTATCACCACTAGGACTAAAAGCGATTTCCGGTGAAAGAGGTCCCGAAGCTTGTCTAAAAGACGATGACCTCATCTTAGATTGTACCGATAAGGAGGGCGACCTTCCATGTCTCGTAAGTTCCGCTACCTTCTCGTCCTCATCCTTAGTCTCTGAAACTTCTACGGGCTTTTCCTCTTTCTTTCCATCCTCGACAGTTAAATCCTCAGGAGCTGCTGGCGCTTCGGCGGGTGCCTCGAGTGGTGTTTCAGTCGAAGCTTCGGATGGTACTGCAGCAGTTGTCTCTTGCGTCTCTTCGCCCTTTATCTCCTCGCTCTTCGTCTCTTCGCTCTTCGAAACTTCAGCTACCGCGCCCACTTTCTCTTCTTTCTTCCCCCCCGCCTTCTTCGCCTTCTTCTTTTTCATTTCCTCAACCTAAATGCCACTCATTAGTAAATAATTATCCTCACATCCATCCCCACTGCCTGTCATCAACACATCTCCCTAACCCCCATACTCCATCAACTCACTCCCTCATCCCTCATCCCTCATCCCTCATAACAAATAAAACAACATACCCTCTTCTTAGCCGCAGCCAGCTTTTCAGCCTTGGCCTTTTCCTCCGCGTCCGCCATATTCAATTATTCGTCTTGTATCGTATCAAATTCCTCGTTGTCCACTGATTAAAATCCAATCTCCAGATATCCTCACTCTTTGACCAAGTACACAGCGTCCAATAATCATCAATCTCTAATGCTCAATATGTAAATTCGCAGATTCAAGTAAACAGAAGGTAGGTAGGTATGTTCAGACCAGCTTGCAATACTGTCCCTCCGTAACCTTCACATGCCATGGATCACGCTAAGCCTAGCTCCCGCGTTACCGACCAGGATCCCCAAATGAACCAACTGAATCTTGACCGATGCCTAGGTAGGTAAGGGAGATAATAAATATAATAGCGTTTGCCCAGGACGCCCTAGGCCTTGTCTCTAAGCTGTTTCCTTTATCAGTCGATCATCAATTTCCTATCTGATTATCATCGTCTTCTTTACCTTTTTCTTGCCATCTCGATTTCATTTGCCTTGTTTTCTGTTTATCCTTATTTGCATCGTTTACATTGTTTGGGTAGATTGAGATTCTCGTCTCCTATTTCTATTTGTATGGCTTTGCAATTCTCACAATACAATTAAAGACAATTAAACCAACAAGGTCATCATCAATTGACGTTACACAACCATTTATCCAAATAACTGTCTACTATCTATCTTCCATCCATCCATCCATCCATCACAATATCTTTGGATACAACCAACATTCGCTCACAACCAACAATGACTTCCTCCTCCTCTTCCTCTCCCAATCCAAATCACAACCCCAATCTTTCCCTCCACTTAACCGATTCATCACTTACCCCCCTCCTCTCAACTTCCTCCTCTTCCCACCCCTCCAACTCCAACTCCAACTCCAACTCGAGCTCCCACGCCAAACCCCCTCAATTTCAACCCCTCACAACCTTAACATCCACCGCGCTCTCTGCATACAATGCCTCGCTGCATCTCAACCTCGGATCTCCGCAACGAATAATTGTGGAATCCGCCTCATCGGGCCCTATCCTTCTCCATTCCTTTATTTCTTCCACGTCTTCTACCCCCCATTCTACCTCCGGTACTCGTCATCGCAGCCGATTTACACATACCAACGTACACGAAACTCGAATGAATGGGGCAGAAAACCCGAATGGAGTATCGAACCTTCGGAGTTTAGAAATTCTATCTGCAGCCCGAGAGGAAATGCGACCGTTAAGTGGCACGACTGAAGGAAGCCATTCGGAGCAAGAGCGCCATGATGTAAGGGATGAGGGGGCCCAGGCTCCATTATTAGTGGGAACGGTTGTAGCGAGAACAGCGGAGCATGTAGGGGAGGCGAGGAAAGCGGCACGTAGAATTGAGATTGTCGCGCATGGGTTTCAACGGGAGCTCATACAAGATACAAAAGTGAAAAGGGTGGGTGAGGATGAGAGCATGGCTGGAGAGGGTTGAGTCATTTGGAAAAGTGAAGTAAATGCCTTGGACAGATACGAAGATTATTGAACATACACTAGCGAGGAGAGGCTGCTTTCATAATGCATATCGAGGAAAACAAAACCGTTTGGGTGGAGGTCAACATTTTTATAAAAGCAAATTGGGAGTCGGTTAGATATCATGTAGATGCGAAAAGAGGGGTATCACAGGAGACTCTCATGAAGAGAAGGAGCTTGGACCACGAGTAGCTCTGGAAAAGCCCAATGCAACACAGATACACATTGTAAACATTCATGGTTCGTTCATAAATCATTTGCTTATTTTCATAGTCTATTTGGCGAACTACACCCAGGACCTGCATTATTCATAAAATGCCCCAAAACTAATCGCGAAATTATTTCCAGATATTTAGATAAGTTGCTTGAAAGCTCTGTTGAGAGGAGAGCGGATGTTTGGAACGTCCTTCCAGAAATCAACAGTGGCAATGGCGCGCTTGGAGATACCTTCTGGGGTGAACTCGAACTTCTACGATGGGGGTTAGCACAATTCATTGATTCTAATTCTACATGAAAAACAGCACATACCTTGTAAACATCCTTGTAAGCACCGGAGGCACCAAATCTGTTGAGACCGAATTGCTCGTGAGTATAACGTTCCCAGCCCATGGTTGACATAACTTCAACGGACAAAGATGGGATACCGTCTGGCAAGACACTGAGTCTGTATTCTTGGGGTTGAGCATCGAAGACCTCGAAACAAGGGATGGAGACGACACGTGCGGTGAGGTTGTGCTTCTCCTTGAGGTACTTGACGGCATCAACACAGATACCGACCTCGGAACCGGTAGAAACGAGGGTGATATCGGCCTTCTCAGCGTTGTGCACAACGTAACCACCCTTGATAGCGTTACCAATGGTGGAGTTCTCGAGTTGAGGAAGGTTTTGGCGGGAAAGGGCGATGATGGAAGGAGTGGTCTTGGAGGTCAAGGCAACGTAATAAGCTGCGCTGGTCTCGTTTCCATCAGCTGGGCGCCAAACCATGCAGTTAGGCAGAGCACGGAAATGAGCCAGAGTCTCGATAGGTTGATGGGTTGGTCCATCCTCACCAAGACCAATGGAGTCGTGGGTAGCAACCCAGATAACACGTTGTTGGGACAAAGCAGAGAGACGGATTGCACCAGCAGCGTATGAAACGAAGTTAAGGAAAGTTCCCCCGTATGGGATGACAGTTCCGTATGCAGCCAAACCGTTCATGACAGCACCCATAGCGTGCTCACGTACACCATATCTGATATAACGTCCGGACCAGTCACCAAGACCGGTAGCAGGTGGTTGGAAATCAACGGCTTCCTTCCATCTGGTCAAGTTGGAGCCAGTCAAATCGGCTGAACCACCGACAAGTTCTGGGATAGCTTCGTGAATCTTTTGGAGGACGATCTCGGACAACTTTCTTGAAGCAACTGCATCATCTGATGGGGAATATGTTGGGAGGTTCTTCTCCCATCCTTCTGGGAGCTCTCCAGTCAAGCGGCGCTTGAGATCGGCAGCCTCTGAGGAGTACTTTTCAGTGTACTTCTCGAGCAATTGGTTCCATTCTTTCTCCAAGGCGGCACCGTGGGATGCACGCTCGTTGCAGATATCGTAAACCTCTTGTGGAACAACGAAAGATTGTTCAGGGTCGAAACCGAATTTCTCCTTGAGTTGCTTAATATCATCAGCCTTAAGAGGGGATCCGTGGACACCGTGGGTGCCTTGTTGCTTGGAACCGAAACCAATGATAGTTCTGAGCTTGATCATGGAAGGCTTGTCCTTAACGGCTTGGCACTTCTTGATAGCAGCCTCCATGGCTTCCAAATCGTTGTCACCGTCGGTGACAGTCTCGACGTGCCATCCATATGACTCAAATCTCTTTACGACATCTTCAGTGAAGGCAACATTGGTGTCACCATCAATGGAAATGTGGTTGTCATCGTAGATAGCAATAAGGTTGCCCAATTGCAAGTGACCGGCCATTGAAGCGGCTTCACTAGCAATACCCTCCATCAAACATCCATCACCGAGGAAGCAGTATGTGTAGTTGTTGATAAGCTCGAATCCGGGCTTGTTGAACTCACCAGCTGCGTGGTGTTGTGCGATGGCAAGACCAACAGCGTTGGCAATCCCTTGACCGAGAGGACCAGTGGTGACCTCAACACCATCGGTATCGGCGGATTCTGGGTGACCAGGAGTGTGACTATCTATCGACTGGAGAGGAAGCAAATTAGCTGAAAGCCAGGAATATTCAGATTATAGGACTACTCACTCTGAAAGATTTGATGTCATCCATGGACAACTTGTAACCGTAAAGGTGGAGAAGGGCATATTGGAGCATGCATGCATGTCCGTTACTGTCATTTTCGGACAATTAGCTTTTGAATCTTAGATCTTGGTACTAGATTTCTTTGGCAATGATGAAAATGTGAGAGCCAAGGCATGCTATAAGTAATTTTCCCAAGTAGTATGATAGCTGTAGTCCTCCGGAGAGAGCTATGTGTCTTCAAATGCAATGCAGTAAGGAAATATCATGTATCAAAAGGCTTTGATGCGCAAGAGGTTCAATTGTATTAAGAAATGGGAATGACTTACGAAAGAACGAATCTATCACGGTTAACCCAGCTTGAGTTTTTTGGGTTGAAGTTCATGATCTTGTTGAAAAGAACGTGGGCAACTGGTGCCATTCCCCTAAGCATCTCATCAGCAAGTCTATCTTATTGTGCCAACTTTGTAAAACTCACATAGGGGCTCCGGGGTGACCGGAGTTAGATTTGAATGTAGCATCGGCCTTGAAGAGAAGATGTCAGTACTTGATTTGCAGGTGTTGATGTTGAGTTGTGCTTTTGAAAGAAGCTTGGAGTTTCCCATCGCGGGGCGAATTCTCCCAAGCCAAGGGAGAAGGAAAAGCAAACTTACAGCAAGAACACGAATAGTGTTGATAGCAAGCTTGTCAACGTCTGTGAAACCCATGATTGCTATTCTATGAAAATGGACAATAACTTTTTGGGTATAATGAGGAATTTAGAATTCTTTGACTAAAGGTTGTTGAGAAAGAAGAGACGAGAGAGACGAGAGAGACGAGAGAGACGAGAGAGGCAGAGAGTTGGAAAGAAGGGTAAAGTACACACACAGGAGGGGCGGACCCAAACGTTAATAATTATTTGAATGTATTTGGCTGGCTCTGATTTTCTATGGTGGGGGTGGAAATGGAATTTGCGTCACCGAAACAGAATGCTCGGTGAAGGGGTCCACTTTATTGGTGGTTTTGCGTTTAATGGATGTGGATGTCAATGGATGTCAACACATGGTGGTTACTCAGCAAAAGCAAAAGAACAGTCGAGGTTGGTGAGATGGTAATGGGAGTGGGAGTGACAATGGAATGGTATTGGCAAGAGAACGGCAACGGATTGGGAATAGCAACACAATGGCAATACGAACCGGGCCCATCTAGCTACAGAAATGGTCCCTCCCCTCACCCTCTCTCTCTCTCTCTCTCATCAGCTAGACTCTTACATCTCAATCGGCTCCGAATGGCCACCAACCAGAGATCCGTCATCAACAAAGTTCCACGTCTATAAAAGTCTAATTTGGCCGGCTCATCTACTAGGCAGGTAAGCTCCCGATAGACTCAAAATCTCGAACTTAATTTTGCATAAACGATTATATATCAACACATTGTCCCGAGAAACTCGTAGCGACACAAGCAAGTGGCCTGCACATCTTGGGAGATTTTAATATGAAAATATCATGATACTTACGTTTGCCCAACTCACTTCATCGGTTTTAAGAAAGCATCATTCGGAGGGCCAAGACATCAAGCATTATTGGTCTGACCCGTTCCTGGATCCGTTTGCTAGGAACGAACATTGCTCCGTAAAGATACCAACCTACAAAGCGTTACACCAACAGTTACTTTCTACTCAGTATCGACACTCGGAACATATAAGCCAACATTTAGCAGTGTTGTGCTTTGCTACCCCGAGTTGCAGAAGGTCCAGCACAATGCAATCGAGCCAATCTACGGTTAAGGTTAACAACCCTTCCAAGCTTCTTATCGATAATGGTCCATCGAGCCTCGACTTCTCAGAACATCAAGAATTTACCTACAGAGTATTCCTATGTCACCTGAGATGAGCGTTGAACACGAGTCTCTGCAATCACAAGCTGTATGGGTGTCGGATTGACATTTGAATATTGAAAAATATTTTGGATCTCCAAAATATCCGATTATCACATCTAGATTGTGATATTCGATCTTGGTGTTCGGTTTTTACCCCCCTCACCACCAGCAAGTCTATCTTCACGAGCATTGGTATTTCCAAGGACCCTGAACTTTGAAAAGATATAAGATCTCCAATCAAATGGACGAATTGAGCCGACGAGATTGATCACCTGGCAGCATTTTAACATCGCGGAGTATTCAATTTCCTGCATATCTCCAGCAAGCATATGCTGTGACATCTCTGCAGCCTACGGCTCAGATATCCGATTGGGAAGATCGTACAAGACAAACGAATCACAGTACAGCAAGTAGTAATACTCGCGATTCTCCTCATTCACATTCAAGTATCCATCAATATTTCATCTTCGGAACCATAGGCCACATGTGTGAAGTAAATGAAAATGGACATGGCACAACATCGTGATATGAATGTCCTCGAGACTCGAGATAGCATCTTTGCAGACAGATGTGCTACGGTATCTCATCTGATTGATCTTCAAAACCATGGCTTGCTTACTGTATCCCTTGGATATTTCAGGATTCGTGTGATAATGCTATCAACGGCATTGCGTTTGCAGTTCTTGCACCACCAAACAAAGCACGTTGGTCTATCAACACCACCATCTCAAGTCCTATTGATGGTTCGGAGGCTCGCAATCGCAAAGTTTCGCTGGGATCAAGGTTTGTCGCTTAGAACTCAGACATCATGCAAACGCGAGAGATTATTATCATTGGGTATATAAAGTACATACAGGTCAAGCATATGGTAGATGCGGATAGTAACATAAACTCCTCATAGCAGGGTGTGCCTCCAAACCGACCAAGAGCCAGTCTTATCCGTCTTTTACAATCCAACAACCATGCTCCCAGTCACCAACGCCAGAAATCACACCCGAATGAAACAATCACAACCTATTTCTTGGATTGCGGTCCACTCTCCTCCTGATCATAACAAAACGCGGAGACGTCGAATAGTAGCGGATCCATACTTTCCACCTTGGATTCATCCCAGCCCCTGGGATTGGATTGCTCAAAATCTTTCGGTAAGCCTAATGCCGAACGTTCGGGATCGGTCTTCCCTTTACGCACTCGATCTAATTCCGACTTGACGCCCGAATACTCCACTTGCAGTGACTCATATGACCGCGACAGCTCACTGTGACGACCTTCAAGCTCTTCCAATCGTTGCTCGAGTTCCCGCATGTGTTTCTCTTTCCTATCCCTGAAAGCTCGCTGAGAAGCTCTGTTCTGGGCTCGGCGACGCTGTGTAGAATCAGTATCTTGTTCGCTCGGTAGACAGATGAACCACTTACCGAATGCATGTGTGAAGCAACCACTTTATCATTTCCACCCTTTCTCCTTCGTCGGTCATGATCCTCGTAAATGCCTTCGATATCTAACTCGACCGGTATCAATCCCATCGGTACACCGTTTGGTTGATATTGTATGGGAAATGATGGATATGTCATATATGTGTTTCCTCCGTATACGTGATCGTTTCCATATACATGATCAAACGTCTATGAAAGCATGAGATTCTGAAAGGAAGCGATGGGTAGAGTCTGAACATACATTGCTGTTGAGTGGTGAGCTTGCTGAAGACTCGCTCGAGGTGTCATATAAATTCATGTCTCCCTGCATTAAATATGGATCGGTAGAACCGTCATGATGAAGAAAGTGGCCGCTTGCCATGTCGAAGTATGTCGTATTATTGAGAAGTATGAGAATGATACTGGGAGGGAGCACTGTATTTTTATGAGGTGGAAAGGTGTTCGAGTCTGACTTGAATCTTGCGAGGTGTGATGATCAAATGATATCTGACAAGTATAATCGGAGGGGGTCTCGGTAACTTTAAATCTTACATCTTCTCTCTTCAGAATTTAGTTCGGGCAAAGATATTCCACGCCCATTCCAAGTGGGGACCGAAGATTGCAAAACGAACAAGCCCTATCACTGTCGCGGAATCCAACAATTCAAACTCACATACCGCTGTTAAACATAGGCAATACCGCTTGAGGCAAGTGTCCTCACCAATCATAGACAGCAAAAGACTCAAAGGAAGCGGTAACCACTTTTCGCCGGGACATGGGATGGGTACAATACTTTGCATGCAAATTACTAGGGATACATGACCTCTGCAAATCAATCTCTGTCCCCAATCCTGACCTCCACCACTCGCTTCCACCAGTCACAGAGTACAAATCCTTCATGTATTTCATGTGGTAGGGTAGGGTAGGGGTTTACAGCAAGGTTGCATTGCGTATTAAGGTTACGAACGGCATGGCCTTGTGGGGGGGGGATTCCATCCACTCAGAAGACCTCTTGGGCAGCGCTTCTTCATTACCTAAACATCCTCACCAAAATTATGAGTGCTTACTATATGAGCAGTCAGTGAGACCCCGGTCGCTCGTCGTGCTGACATTACACTTTCATCGTCGGTAAAGATCGCTAGCTCGCGTTAGCGCAGCACATCCTGGATTCCCTCGTTCTGCTTTATTGCTGTTTTCATCCTCGTGTCCCTCGTACGGGACATGCAGGCTGACTGCCAAGAACCATTCCTCGGACTTACGCTGGTGTATACAGTATTGTATTTTTGTTCTTGGGGGTTGAGAAAACGAGTTTGGCCCGGTGGTGTGTGTTGTGGCTGCGCAGTGATGAAATGGGTGTATTATCCAAGCGAGTTGAAGATACGGTATATCCATGTTTGGCCGTTATTTTGGTAATGTAGATAGACAGATACCCCTACGTAGGAACGTTACTCCACTTTAGAAAAGTAGTCTAGACATGTCACATCGATCATAGCATTCTAATCGTAACATCACTAATCCATAGCAATCCCAATCTACAATATCAAGAGCGTCTATACCCCTAACACATCGACCCCAATCCACACACATTCCACCACCACTCCACAAGAAAAAACCCATCTCTCCTCTCCCCAACCCAAACCCTCGAAAAACTTGCGGCTTACAATAGAGATTCCCACATCCACGCCTCTCGCGCCGCCATTACCCAACGCAGCCTAGCCGCAACATTAAAATAACGTCTGTAGGATTCCGACCAGCTCGCTACCACATGAGTCCCTGCACGCCCCAAGAAGCAAAAACTCCACTTTTGCAGATCTCACTAATTATCTCATTCCCACCTCATTGCATTTCCAGCGCGGGAAAATGCCAGACGCCTTCTCTTTATAGATATAGATACCATGGGATTTTTTGAGTTAGCTTCTATGGTTACTGGCAGTCTGCGTTTAGATAATTTTTTTCTAATCTTTTTTCAAGATGTATATTTTTTGTTATCTGAAGTATTTAGCGCTAGTTTGAATATCAATTCCGATTAGAATCCGCCGAATAATCCGCTTTTTTTATTATAATTAATTCTATAATAATACTTTTCTATTCTTAAAAAAACAGATTTCTGTATTTCGTTTTCCTATTTGTATGTTGATTTTAATATAAAATTTATAGAAATAAAAGAAAATAAAATATATATAGTATATATATATTTCTATATATAAGGAAATTCGAATTTTTAGTTTACTATCGCTATTTAAATAAATTGAATAAACGAATGTAAGAATAGCTTCATTTTAATTAGAATGAATATAGGAATAGTATTTTATTTAATTGTATTAATTTATATAAATCTAAATTTTAATTTAAAAAGCTTAAAACTTTAGACTATATATAATAGATTAAAGCTTCAAACTATAAAAACCTATTAAAGTCTATAAATTCATAGATTTTCC